GTCTTGAGTTACGGCCATCTTTGTTTTGGTTAAGATTGCTAAATGGTGGCAGGTATTTTGCGGTGACTCCAAAAGTTAGTTATAGATGTACACCTGAGGAGGAGCAGCCTACACATAACAGTAACTGAGTCTCCTTTAGTCTGTCAGAAATGTGATTGCCCACTATAGCCACTAGATGGATCTGAACTAGCATTTTTAACAGGAGTGATGCTAGAAGCCCCCCTTTTTCTTCCCCCTCCAGGTTTGTTTATTGTTCTTTAACGTTAGGACTGCTGCCACCAATAAAACAGTTATTAGATGATGTGTGTGAGGGAATTTTGGACACAGAAAACCTTTCAGTGAACTAGTCCCTACATATTCAGACTCTTTGCCAACAGCTCAGGATAATGACACCCCAGGGATCCTCCCTCCTCTCCCCTCCCAGTGGGTCTTTCCTCAGTCCTGCCCTGTTGGTCTCAGTGATGGGGCAGTGAGGATGTCAGAACTCCTCTGTCCCGTGTAGACTTTTCCTTTTTTTCCCCCCTCCTCTTCAGGGCTTTAAATTAGTTTTATCATGTTGCGGGTTGTAGTGGAGTCGGCAAAGAATATCCCTAAAAAGAAACTTGGGAGCCCTGATCCAATTACATCTGTAACTTTTAAAGGTAGGTCCCTTCTTAAAAGTTCATTTTACTGTAATCTGTATTTTCTTTTTAAAACTTTTAACTTTAGCTCTACATTTAAGCTCATTAATGTTAAGTGGATGCTTTATTATAGATTCTAATTATTTTCTTATATCTTACATGGATAATGACTTGTCTACAGCATTGTAAAAATGTTTTAAATTCATGAAAAAATATCATAATGAATCTCTTATCACCAAACCAAACAATCTTTGTAAATAGAAAAACAGCAAACGTCATCTTTGAAAGTGTCAGTCGAGTGCAGAAAATTTAAAAGGCTTTCCCAACATGTTGCAGCATAGAAGCAGAGAGAGTTGGGAGTGGCTGTGTTTGGATCTGTATGGACACACAGGTGGAGGTGACTGATGAGGACAAGTTGAAAGCTGTTTTGGCCTAAAGCTACTAAATTAGGACAGAACAGGTTTGTGTGAGGCAGCAACATTTTTTTTTCTTTTTCAAAAGAGGTTGCAAACCCTGTTTGCCTTAGCTGACATGTTGAATTCTTTTTATTGTATTGTCYTGGTCGTTAATTAACATGGGGTCCATCTTGTCTTCTGAGACAGAATCTGTAGCCTGACTTAGCATCACTGCTGCCACTGTCCAACCAGAGCATGAAACGCTACCTCTGCATCTCTCAAACTACAAAAATGCATTTACAACTGATACTTCTATTTCAGATGAGAAGAAGAAAACCAAATTCATTGACAARGAAGTGAATCCTGTGTGGAATGAGGTAATCAATAATCTCTCTTTGATCAATCAAGTTGGATCTGCTACGTAAGAGCGCACGTCACAAACTGATTAGGCTATCTTATCACCATTTGGCTGTCATGGTACAGTCTGATGCTGACTGTACTCGATGACTTATAACAAATCACTATTTGTTCATCAGGTTGTGATGGCAACTCAAAATCACATGAGCATATTTTTCTATTTTTGTCTTTCAGGTGCTTGAGTTTGACCTGAAGGGCACTTCGTTGGACCCTGGTTCCTTTCTAGACATTGTTGTGAAAGACTACGAGACAATTGGGAAAGATAAGTAAGTAGAACAGGTCAGACTTGGCTCTTTGTTGGTTTTGTGCAACAGAAGGATTCCAGAGATCAGAGAGAGCTCACCTGCATGAATCACAGGTCCTAAACTGAGTTTCTAGGAAATCTGTCTGTTCAGATTGGTTTAAATCTAAAGTTTATTGTGTGTTTTGACTMTTAACGGTCATGGCACTGGGTGTCTCCTGCTGCTTTAAAAACACAGCATTGTTATCTGTTTTAAGGAAAAAGAACAATTTGTTTGCGAGTATTTTATTTTTGTGGCTAACTGTCTCAATCCCCRCCACACCCTTCTCACCATGCTGAGACTTGCTGAGCCGTGTGGGACGACGGATTCTGGTTGAGCAACAAAGAATGAATGGATCCCTGTTTATTTTCTGTCTCGGTGTAGGATTTGCCCGGCTACGTTAGAACGCTGGAAATGTGAAGGGCCTGCTGTGGTGAGAAGGAACTGTTCTAACATCCTGAGGAGGATATGCAGCACAACATTATAAATAACTTCTAATTAAAGCCACATGTGGTCTAAACAAACCACAATGAARGTTTCCTCAATGTTACTCTCACAATCAAAGCCAGTCAGAAGAAAACAAAACTAAAGTGATGTTTTCTGTATATAGAAAACTACATGAGGTTGTGTAGAAGCTTTCATGAGTTAAAGGTTCCCTTTTTGTCTGGGACAGTCATGCCCAAAGGAGGGGCTTTTTGCCTCTGCGTATTTAGCAAATGAGACCATGTTAAACTGAGTCATCTTTTCCACTGGGCTGTCCTGCCTGACACAWTCCCTACAGATCTGCATGGTATGTAGGCAGAGCAGGGCTTCTCTCCCACTTAAATACATTTGCATGAAAAAGTATGTGAACCCTTTGGGATTTCTTGGATTTCTGCACAACATAACATCCACTGCATGAAACTGATCTCTCTAAACAAAATATAACTATTGTGTTCCTATGACCTTCTCCATAACTTCTTCTGCATAACTTAACATCCACAGTGCAGGGTGGAAAAAGTATGTGAACCTCTGGATTTAATGGTTGGTTGATCCTCCTTTGGCAGCAAGAACCTCAACCAAACGTTTCCTGTAGCTGCAGATCGGACCTGCACAACGGTCAGGAGGAATTTTGGACCATTCCTCATCAAAAAACTGTTTCAGTTCAGCAATATTCTTGAGATACACTGCAAAAACTGTCCATCTTACCAAGTTTTAAAATATTATATTCAGCCAAAAAGTCTTTTTGATCTTGTTTTGAGACTGATTTGCTAAACAAGAACTGACTGTGTAAGAATAATAATCTTGTTTTCAGAATGTGTAAGATTATTTGTCTTGTTAGTGAAAATTTGACTCAAATTAAGTAAAAAAWTTCTGCTAATGTAGTAAGAAAATTTTACTTGGTAAGATTCTTGAAATAAAAAGAGTCAAATCAAGTATTTCAAGATTCTTACCAAGTAAAATTTTCTTACTCCATTGGCAGAAATGTTTTACTTAATTTGAGTCAAATTTTCAGACTAACAAGACAAATAATCTTACACATTCTGAAAACAAGATGAGTATTCTTACACGGTCAGTTCTTGTTTAGTAAATCAGTCTCAAAACAAGATCAAAAAGACTTGGGCTGGATATAAGATTTTAAAACTTGGTTAGATGGACAGTTTTTGCAGTGTATCTGGTGTGAATCACTCTTTTGAGGTCATTCCACAGCATCTCAATTGGGTTGAGGTCAGGACTCTGACTGGGCCACTCCAGAAGGTGTATTTTCTTCTGTTGAAGCRGTTCAGTTGATRTACTTCTATGTTTTGGGTCYTTGTCCTGTTGCATCATCCATCCTCTGAGTTTCAGTTGGCAGACAGAAGGTCTTACTGCAAAATGTCTTGGTAAACTTGTGAATTCATTTTTCCGTTGATGACGGCAATCCGTCCAGCCCCTGTGGTAGCAAAGCAGCCCTAAACCATGATGCCCCCTCCACCATATTTCACAGTAGGGATGAGGTTTTGATGATGGTGTGCTGTGCCTTTTTTTCTCCACACATAGCATTGTGTGTTCCTTCCAAACAACTCAATTTTGGCTTCATCTGTCCACAGGACATTTTGCCAGTAGTGCTATGGGACATCCAGGTGCTCTTTTACAAACTTCAAATTTGCGGCAATGTGTTTTCTTTTTTTTGGACAGAAATGGCTTCCTCCGTGTTGTCCTCCCATGAACTCCATTCTTGTGTCATGTTTTACGTAATGTAGATTTGTCAACAAAAATGTTAGCGTGTGCCAGAGATTTCTGTAAGTCTTTAACTGACACTCGAGGGTCCTTCCTCACRTCACTGATCATTCTGCACTGTGCTCTTGCGGTCATCTTTACAGGACGCGCGCGGGGGAAGGGGGCGGGGTGTTGTGCTGTGATATGGATGCTCGGAGTAGTTTACTTGGCATCTGAAAATACATTTCCTCAAAGGTATTTTGAATCTGAAAAGGGCAGCACTGAGAAGCAGTGAAACACTTTCAGTTTCACCAGTTGTTTGCTTTGTTGCTGCCGAGAGATTTGTTCTTAAATTGTGCGTATGAGTGATTTAGGAGAATTTGTGGCATTCACCAATGTTTTCGTATTCTAAGAATTTTTTCAGATACGAACAAAATTCA